TGCGGCCTTCAATGTCGCGTGTGGTGTCGATGCTTTCTGGAGACATTGAGGTGCCCCCAGTCACTTCAAAGCCCGGATACCTCACTGACTGGAAATTCAGTGATGCAACAACATTTATGTCGAACATAGATGGTTCAACTTCAAGAACTGATATTAGTCCAAGCAATCCATCAAACATAACAAGCAGGGCAACTACAGACCCATCTTATTCACCTCTCACTGATTCGAAACCCATTCTTCATGAGATTATTGGCGAGGGGAGGTGAAATTAAATATTATAGCAGTATTTTCTGGTAGAAGATAAATAAGCATTCCTTTTGAAATAAAATTGTGTGGAGGTGGTTAAATATTTTCAATTTTCATGATATTGTGATAGTTTCCATTTTGTAGTGATAATGTGATATTATTTTCTTAGTAGTATGTTTGTAATATTATAGGATCTTTTCTTTTACATTTGTTTGTAATTCTAGAACACAAAACTTTTATACAATTTCTCTAGTTTTTTTCATTGTTTGTATCCCATTTACACTGGATGCATATATATTAATAGAATTAAAATGTTCAAGTAATCAACGATTCTCATTTGATTATCAAAGAAAATTTTGATGCAATGGAATTATACTTTTTGACTACTACATCTATTTTTAAATGAAATGTACTAAATATCTAGCTGATATTTCCCGTAATTGAAGTTTTCATGAATAAAATGGTGGCATGCCCTTTGAGGTTGGTCCAACAAAAAATCTTTGCTACAATCATGTCAAGAAACTATGAATAACTTCAAAAGTAGGATTAAGAAATCCTCCATGGGGTTTTTATCCTCAATTTGGCATAGTTCTAGCCGAATATTGCTTTGATTATCTCCTTTTGTCACCCAACTTTATGCTAAGGTGGACCTATCTGTCAGGTGACACTGATACACATGTAATTGAGTGCTTGTACTGTTACATCTCTATCTCACAATATGATATCATTATGTAAATTGGACATGGAATGTCCACGATTGATGGGTAACCAGCAATATTATATTAATTCAATACTTTACTTCAATGTAATTCTATAACCTATTATTTTTCAAAGAATTAAGTATGTTATCTACTCTTTATAACTTCGTTGCTCTATCTTTCAATGTAGTTCTTTGAAAAGAATATAGGTTTTAGTTGTGTTATACCTCCGTCTTGCATGGAGTTCTATTCGATTGTATGTAAGAGCAACACGGGATTTGGTGCTACGTAAGAGCCACGTGGAAACATCGAGGCTGATGAAGCCTTGGGCCAAGCCTAGCTTTAAGTGATGAGGCTAACGTTCATGCCTCAATGATGAGGCCGACCCTCGTGAGTCCTAGTCCAAGTGATGAAGCCTTGGGCTGGGCATTGCTTTAAGTGATGAGGCCGACACTCACGTCTCAATGATGAGGCTGAGCCCCGCCTTTAGTTATAAGGGTAACCGGTGTAATATAATTGGATGTTTTTCGAATAAATAACATTCCACAATGTTTTTGTAATAATTTTATTTTGTTGGTGTATTTAAGTAAAATACAAATACGGGCGCTATTAATTTTAATGATGATGGGATATTGTCATTTTACTTTTTCTATTCTCAATTTAATTATAGTTAAATAACAAGTCCATATGCAACGTGGTCGATTATAAAAATTTACCCCTATTTGGTTTTAGTAAAAATCAGATTTTTAGTATGTTTTAATAAAAGTTGATGAAATATATTGTTAAAAGTTGACAAAAGTTGCCGATCCCAAGAAAATAGAAATGTGTAGTTAAAATTTATTGTTGATCTTAATTTATATTTTCATCAATTATTTTTGCTAAACCAAACATTAATATAGAAGTTTTTCTACCTTTGTCAAGTAAGATATATATTGTTTCTCAATGATTGTGGGACAAACTGTAACACAGAAGTTGAACTTTAGTTTTCATAACCTAAATACAACTATATATCATACACATTATATAATAATATTTAGGTGAAAATATCGATATTTTTCAGTTCCCTTCTTCCAAAGCATTCAGC